AAATACAGTCACAATGGTAAACTTGATTGCGATTGTCTGTGAGTGTCTGCGTGGCCACGCGATATCTTTGTATTAAAAGTCGACTTAACACTTGAGTTTTGTGTAGCTACACATTATTTACATAATATTTACACGAGTTTGCGGGAGTGCGTGTGCTTCGGGAATAGACGTACTAATTGTTTCTTAGAATACACATTGCTTACGTATGACTAACTAAACCTAAGTGAATACTAGGTAAGGTCAAAGCATATGAATCATATATGTATTGTGGTTAATTATTTTGTGTAGCAATAAATCAAAATCAGTTAAATAGCTAACTTGTGAAATATATTTATGAATTATTGTATGTTACCAAAATTATCTTATAAAATAAACATAGTATCTATTGACCTAACGTAACTAAATATTTTTATTTTACAAGTCTTGTTTGAAAAACTTTCATTCGGGAGACATGAATTACTTCTTTGACAAGTTTTCCATTTTTTAAGATTTCCACTAGATATGAGACTGGTGTAACTTGTTTTAATACAGTATACGGACCTTTGTAGCGGTAAGAAAATTTGGTTTGATTTTCCCTCAAATTTTTAGGGTACCATATGAGAACTTGGTCTCCTGGGTGTAAGATTAAGTCTCTCCTATTCCTATCGTAATACATTTTTTGTTTCTTTTGTTCACTAGCTATGATAGAAGGTATTGTGTCCCTAATTTCATTTACAATTCTTATGTTTTCTAACAGATCTTTTTCTACATTTGGATTTACAAAAAAAGTATCACTTGGAAAGCTTGGCTCAAAGCCTAAAAATAAGTACGAAGGTTTGTACTTGGTTGTCTGGTGTTTACTGTTATTGTAAGCAAAAAGTACATAGTCAATGTATTGTGACCATGCGTTTGGTTTTTCAGCTACATAATGAGAAATCATATTTATCAACGTGTTATTAAAGTTTTCTACTTGTCCATTAACTTGTGGTGTGAAAGCACTACTTAGAATTTGGCATGTACCTATTGCTGTGGTTAAGTCACGAATCAAATTGTTGTTAAATTCAGTACCTCTATCTGATTGTATAATAGAAGGTGTTCCATAAGTACAAATTAGTTTTAAGAGACATTTTACAATTGATTTACCATCTGCAACTACAAGTGGGAAAGCAAATGCAAATCGACTACAGGCATCAGTTACTGTTAAAATGTATTTATATCTATTGCTAGGATTTAATGGACCAATTATGTCAAGTTGGATTCGTTCAAATATTTTGTTAGTGGGAGGGATAGGATTAAGGAAGCCATACTTCTTCTTCGGAGAGTTCTTTCTTTTCTGACAACTTTCGCAGGTTTTCACGTAGTTTTCGACATCTGTTGACATACCAATCCAATGATATCTTTCTTTGATTTTTCCGAGAGTCTTGAATGTACTTAGATGTCCTCCTGATAACGGTGAATTGTGGTACTCCTGAAGGATGTTGTTGACGAGTTTTCGTGGTATTGCTATAACATGTCTGTGAGGATCAGAATCGTTGTACATTCGGTAGAGTACACCATTCTCTGTCTTGTAATACGTGGCCATTTTCCTGTACTTTTGTTCCACAAGATCAGGATTTTCCAAAGCAAGTAAGATGCATTTTAGGTCATCGTCCTGAGCTTGCAATTTCTTCAAGTCCACGAGATGAAGGGCATTTACTGAAGTAAGGTTGAAAGTGAAATCCTCTTCTATAGTCTTGTCAACCGGATTTCTGCTTAAGAAGTCAGGCAAGACTAAGGATTTACCTGCCTTGTGAGTAATTTCCAGGTCGTAGTCACATATTAAATTCGAGAGTCTGGTGAGTCTAGATGAAGCTCCTTTAAATGATTTATAATATTGCAATGCAGAATGATCAGTGAAAACCTTTACTTTTCTTCCAAATAAAAATTCTCTCCATTTTACCAATGCATAGACTAAGGATAAGAATTCTTTTTCTGAAACGCTGTAGTTAACTTCATTTGGTTTTAGTTTTCTACTTAAATACTGAATAGGATGTTCTGTAGATGTTTCTGGATCATACTGGGTCATTACTGCTCCTATAGCATAATTTTATGCGTCTGTGTACACTCTGGTCTCTCTGTGTTCTACGAAGTGGCTGAGAAGTGGCGGTGAGGTGAGAATCGTCTTGAGTTCCTGGAATGAAGTCTCACAGTCGTTTGTCCATTGAAACTTCTTCGTTGCGTTGAATTCCTTTATGAGTGTTGTTAAGGGCATGGCTATTTTTTGCAAAGTTTTTAACAAATCTACGGAAGTAATTTGCAGCTCCAAGAAACGATCTTACTTGTTTAATGGTAGTTGGGGTTTTAAATTTAATTATGGATTCTATATTTGTTTTTAATGGCAAACAGCCTTTAGAACTTACTTCATGTCCAAGTATGTTTATTTGATCGTACATGAATTGACACTTTTTTGAGTTTAGCTTTAGGTTAACATTGTTTAGCTCTTGTAAAATAATTTCTATGTTTTCCAACTGTTCGTCAAATGTTTTTCCTAACACGGTGATGTCATCAATGAATGGTATGCATCTGCTATACAAATGTTTTGATAAAATTCTAGTTATGGCTCTTTGGAAAGCTACTGTAGCAATGGATAATCCTTGTGGCATTCTTCTAAACTGATACTTTCCCGTTTGTGTGATAACGGTTAAATATTTTCTGTCTTCTGGGGCTATCTCTAACCGGAAGAATGCGTTTTTCAAATCTAAGTGAGTAAAATAAGTCATTTCAGATAAACAAGACAAGACCAAATCTACTGAGACTATGGGGAAATTTTGTTGTTCTAAACATTTGTTAACTGATCTCAAATCAGATATTACACGCGATGAGCTGTCAGAGTTGGTTATTACGAACATTGGGCTGGCGAACTCTGTGTATTCGGGCGATTCTTCGAGTATACCTGCCTTTGTTAGTTTTTCGATTTCTTCTTGAAGGATTTTGCGTTCTTTTAGGCTTTGCCTATAAGGAGGATGATATACTGGTTTAGCATCTGATTTTAGGTTAAGTTTAACTGGTGGTAGTTTAGCTGGACCTAAATCTTCTGTCTTGTTAGTAAACATGTGGCTAAATTTAAATAATATTGCTGCTAACTTGTTATGCTGATTGACTGTCAATTTTGGATTTATGTCAAGTGGGTTGCCATTTCTGTCAAGTGCAATTGTTTTAGAAGGATGAAGTGGTTTTATTTTAGGTGGATGTGTGCATGTTCTTGTTTTTACTCCGGCATTTGGTTTTAAATAACCTAATATTACGTTTTGTTTTAACCATTTTGGAGATTTACTTGCATTGTAAGCGTAAATAAACTTTTGTGAATTTTCGTTTTCTGATGAGATATAAAAGTGGAGGTTCTTTTTGTCTCGGTAATTTAAATCTATATCAAGTTCATATTGATGATGTTCTGGCAAGATTTCCATTCACTACGCCGAACTCGTTTGAAAAGAAAATGGAGGTGGAGGGTTTTATTATTTGCATCGGCATTATAAATCTTATTGTTTTAGTTTTCATTGCAGTCTGTATTTGCTATTTAATTTTAAAAATTCACAAATTTAGGAATCAGGTACTCACTCGATTGGACCGGCTAGAAGAAGAGGAAAGAGAAGCTGAAACGAGAGCTGCCGGTCCACGAGATCATAAGCAAAGTATAATACTGGAGTCGATCAGATTGTTCAGGGCCCTGTTCTATTAAGAACACCCAAACCCTCCACCATACCCCTGCTCCCTGCTCCCTGCTGATACCTGCTGTTACCTGGCTCGGATACCCGGCGCCTCCACCATGCGAGTCCCATGCCTCACTTTAAGTTTAAGTTTCCTAAAATGATTCACTCGCTTAGCTTAGTCAAGAGGTGTTAGGTTAATGAGACATAAGACTGCTTATGGGTGTTATTCAACGTGTAATGAACAAAAATTTAAATTTAGAAAAAACAACTAAAGTAACTAAGTGTTACAACAGCAAAAGAAAACTTTGAAAATGCAAAAAAACAACAATAATAAGATAAATTAATTTGCAACGTTAAATTTACAAGAAAAGAAAATCAATTGAAAATATAAAAGAATTAGTTACTGACAAATTATATGACTTTTATGTTTGACAAAGTGTTAGTTAGATATTTTATTCTTTCTACATACTGTCTATTGTCCCAGAAGCACACACACCGATACACGCACTCCCAAACTCCCGATCTTCTTTCTCCGGTGGCCCGTGGTGATCTCCTCGATGTTTTCCTTCAGATCCTCCAGCTCCAAGACTCGTCACCCCTCCATCTTCTTCATTAGCCCTTCTCATTGGCTGATTACCGATAGGGTGTGTGGCTAATAGGTTAACGGTGTTTCTTGGAAGTCAGCCCTACCGGTCATCGCCTAGCTCACATCAGCTGGGAAAGGAATTTGTAAATTGATGCTCATGCTACTGTTCAACTCTGTTCACACCAACTGGTCGACTAAGTGTAATGTGAACAGAGTGTCTGCATAGATGAGCACCGTGGGTACGGGGTTAATCCCCTTTCTTACACCATCAACACATTTAATGGATTTAAACAAGTTTAGAAATAATTAAATCTCTGGGAACACGTACAAAACTAAGCACAAATTATTAATTGGTGAAGAATTTAAAATGAAAACGAGAGCAACAGAAAAAGATTTTACTGTCTCAGAAGCAGCAGAGGTACGAAACAATCTTAAAGGAATACACACCACCTGTACATGTTCCACCAGAACTAGAAGAAAACAGACCACTTCCAACTACGGTTGATGCATACAAACATCTACCGGAAATGTTGGGAATGAGTCACCGAAGATGTAACGAGTTCTTATTTATGGAAATATTTTAGTAAATATGTAATCAGACAAGTTGAAATTCGCTTAGTCTGCAGGTTCGCTGCGGTGGCGGTATTTGTTTATACATCAAACAAGTTAACACTAAATAATTCTTTCTTATGTAAAAATTATGTAAGCCTAGCTATTATAATTAATTTATTTTTAATTTGTTACAGGTCAGAATGCTGGAAAGTTTGGGGGGAAAAGATTTAAAACATTGTATAAACACAATGATGAGAAGGATTGCAGCAGACGAGGTGGCAATGAATATTTCATACACAGGAAAATCTGTTGGAAAAGTGCACAAAATGACTTTTTCTAAATATTTAGTGTGCAAGTGTGTGCATGGCAAGTGTTATACTAACACCACAGATTTGTTAATTAAAGAGAAAAACTAAACACAATTGTTTTAAAAATAAAAATACACGATTGAGATTTGCCATGAAGGTAAAACTATATCGAACTGAAGGGTGGTGATTGGTTTGGTAAATAATTAATACACTCGTAGTTAGGTTTGCTGTTACAGGAAGCGAGTTTTTTATTCTCTCCATAAACCATTTAGCATACAATAATGCTTAAAAATGCGCACTATTAGCTCTACAGTTTGGAAAGGAAAAAATTTTAACCCCAATAAATCTCCTCATAACCCATAGTCCAATCATGCTGGTTCGCGAACTTCTTTGAAAGAAATGTAGTTTAACACGTTTATACAAAATTTCATTAACATTGGATAATTTTTGTTTGAGTTGTCATGCTAAAGACACACGCACACGTACATACATACACACACAATATATGGGTTTTTGGTCTTTGGGAACCTTTAAACAAAACAGGAAATCGGCCCTGCGTCCAGGCCTTATCATGAGACCTACGGTAATAGCTTATTATTCCCTGCATAGGAAATTTGTTAAAACACGATTATGGTTATAATCATATATAATTTTTTTTTAATATGATATAAATTTTAACAGACAGTGTTTTTGGCCTATGGTAATAGCTTATTCCCAGTATGAGAAACTCGCTAAAAGTTCAAGTATATTAAGGTAAATTACTTGAAATCATTATTACTGTGAAATAACAGATCATAGCATTACAGAAGAAAAGTTTGACAACCCAACCCCTTTTAAGAATAATCTACTTCGGGTGGTTTCTGGTTTCCAATTCATATATTTTTACTCTTCATATATGTGAATAAAAAACAAGAGTAACAAGATTCGAGGAAAGGGCTTCACAATGTGATCTACAGCGTCGTTAGAAAGAGATATAGCCTAATGTTTCTCTCATGATCCTTAAGTGTGTCTCCAACTCACTTTTACTGACGAGAACCTTTTTTGATCAGTGTGCGGTTGAGGTAAAACATTTGAGGCTAACGTAAATAAGGACACTTCTGCATAAGATGTCTATTTATATTATTTGCTAAATGGATCTTACGAATATGATTAGATATAGAGTAGAAGATAAGTTTAACAATTAAATTTCTTTACGTTTTAATGCGGTTTTATAAACAATGAAATTACCGAGATATTTTCCTTTAATGGATACAACGAAAGAAATACATGAATTGATTACTGATTGGTAATTTTATGCCATATTTAGTTTTTATCATTATTTTATATAATTTTCCAATCATTTACTGTATTTTAACTACTACTACTATACTATACTACTAGATACTATTACCTGAAAACGAAAAACCTTGTTATATCCAGTGTTTAAATTCAAAATAAATAGAACTTTTGTGAATTTTCGTTTTCTGATGAGATATAAAAGTGGAGGTTCTTTTTGTCTCGGTAATTTAAATCTATATCAAGTTCATATTGATGATGTTCTGGCAAGATTTCCATTCACTACGCCGAACTCGTTTGAAAAGAAAATGGAGGTGGAGGGTTTTATTATTTGCATCGGCATTATAAATCTTATTGTTTTAGTTTTCATTGCAGTCTGTATTTGCTATTTAATTTTAAAAATTCACAAATTTAGGAATCAGGTACTCACTCGATTGGACCGGCTAGAAGAAGAGGAAAGAGAAGCTGAAACGAGAGCTGCCGGTCCACGAGATCATAAGCAAAGTATAATACTGGAGTCGATCAGATTGTTCAGGGCCCTGTTCTATTAAGAACACCCAAACCCTCCACCATACCCCTGCTCCCTGCTCCCTGCTGATACCTGCTGTTACCTGGCTCGGATACCCGGCGCCTCCACCATGCGAGTCCCATGCCTCACTTTAAGTTTAAGTTTCCTAAAATTGTATAACACGTTTATACAAAATTTCATTAACATTGGATAATTTTTGTTTGAGTTGTCATGCTAAAGACACACGCACACGTACATACATACACACACAATATATGGGTTTTTGGTCTTTGGGAACCTTTAAACAAAACAGGAAATCGGCCCTGCGTCCAGGCCTTATCATGAGACCTACGGTAATAGCTTATTATTCCCTGCATAGGAAATTTGTTAAAACACGATTATGGTTATAATCATATATAATTTTTTTTTTAATATGATATAAATTTTAACAGACAGTGTTTTTGGCCTATGGTAATAGCTTATTCCCAGTATGAGAAACTCGCTAAAAGTTCAAGTATATTAAGGTAAATTACTTGAAATAATTATTACTGTGAAATAACAGATCATAGCATTACAGAAGAAAAGTTTGACAACCCAACCCCTTTTAAGAATAATCTACTTCGGGTGGTTTCTGGTTTCCAATTCATATATTTTTACTCTTCATATATGTGAATAAAAAACAAGAGTAACAAGATTCGAGGAAAGGGCTTCACAATGTGATCTACAGCGTCGTTAGAAAGAGATATAGCCTAATGTTTCTCTCATGATCCTTAAGTGTGTCTCCAACTCACTTTTACTGACGAGAACCTTTTTTGATCAGTGTGCGGTTGAGGTAAAACATTTGAGGCTAACGTAAATAAGGACACTTCTGCATAAGATGTCTATTTATATTATTTGCTAAATGGATCTTACGAATATGATTAGATATAGAGTAGAAGATAAGTTTAACAATTAAATTTCTTTACGTTTTAATGCGGTTTTATAAACAATGAAATTACCGAGATATTTTCCTTTAATGGATACAACGAAAGAAATACATGAATTGATTACTGATTGGTAATTTTATGCCATATTTAGTTTTTATCATTATTTTATATAATTTTCCAATCATTTACTGTATTTTAACTACTACTACTATACTATACTACTAGATACTATTACCTGAAAACGAAAAACCTTGTTATATCCAGTGTTTAAATTCAAAATAAATAGAACTTTTGTGAATTTTCGTTTTCTGATGAGATATAAAAGTGGAGGTTCTTTTTGTCTCGGTAATTTAAATCTATATCAAGTTCATATTGATGATGTTCTGGCAAGATTTCCATTCACTACGCCGAACTCGTTTGAAAAGAAAATGGAGGTGGAGGGTTTTATTATTTGCATCGGCATTATAAATCTTATTGTTTTAGTTTTCATTGCAGTCTGTATTTGCTATTTAATTTTAAAAATTCACAAATTTAGGAATCAGGTACTCACTCGATTGGACCGGCTAGAAGAAGAGGAAAGAGAAGCTGAAACGAGAGCTGCCGGTCCACGAGATCATAAGCAAAGTATAATACTGGAGTCGATCAGATTGTTCAGGGCCCTGTTCTATTAAGAACACCCAAACCCTCCACCATACCCCTGCTCCCTGCTCCCTGCTGATACCTGCTGTTACCTGGCTCGGATACCCGGCGCCTCCACCATGCGAGTCCCATGCCTCACTTTAAGTTTAAGTTTCCTAAAATTGTATAACACGTTTATACAAAATTTCATTAACATTGGATAATTTTTGTTTGAGTTGTCATGCTAAAGACACACGCACACGTACATACATACACACACAATATATGGGTTTTTGGTCTTTGGGAACCTTTAAACAAAACAGGAAATCGGCCCTGCGTCCAGGCCTTATCATGAGACCTACGGTAATAGCTTATTATTCCCTGCATAGGAAATTTGTTAAAACACGATTATGGTTATAATCATATATAATTTTTTTTTAATATGATATAAATTTTAACAGACAGTGTTTTTGGCCTATGGTAATAGCTTATTCCCAGTATGAGAAACTCGCTAAAAGTTCAAGTATATTAAGGTAAATTACTTGAAATCATTATTACTGTGAAATAACAGATCATAGCATTACAGAAGAAAAGTTTGACAACCCAACCCCTTTTAAGAATAATCTACTTCGGGTGGTTTCTGGTTTCCAATTCATATATTTTTACTCTTCATATATGTGAATAAAAAACAAGAGTAACAAGATTCGAGGAAAGGGCTTCACAATGTGATCTACAGCGTCGTTAGAAAGAGATATAGCCTAATGTTTCTCTCATGATCCTTAAGTGTGTCTCCAACTCACTTTTACTGACGAGAACCTTTTTTGATCAGTGTGCGGTTGAGGTAAAACATTTGAGGCTAACGTAAATAAGGACACTTCTGCATAAGATGTCTATTTATATTATTTGCTAAATGGATCTTACGAATATGATTAGATATAGAGTAGAAGATAAGTTTAACAATTAAATTTCTTTACGTTTTAATGCGGTTTTATAAACAATGAAATTACCGAGATATTTTCCTTTAATGGATACAACGAAAGAAATACATGAATTGATTACTGATTGGTAATTTTATGCCATATTTAGTTTTTATCATTATTTTATATAATTTTCCAATCATTTACTGTATTTTAACTACTACTACTATACTATACTACTAGATACTATTACCTGAAAACGAAAAACCTTGTTATATCCAGTGTTTAAATTCAAAATAAATAGAAATAGTCTATAGTGTTCACTGCTAAACAATTGTTCCGTTTTTCGATTTTAGAAAACCCCATTTCCACTCTAAGTAAACATATATACAAATAAGATTTTTATATGTTATCTAATATAATTAAATTACAATAATAGTCAATTCGTGTGACAATTAAATAAAAACATAAGAAAACTCAAAATAGCCTAGATATTAGTAATCTGCCATGTAATCTTCAAGATACCAACACATCAAAAGCATATTGGGACCATCTTATTGTACGGTGCCCGATTTAACAAAGACATGTAGTAGGCCTACAACTAACTTATTATCGAAAATTTGAACATATTGTAAGTAAAAGTCTATTTCTAGTATGATTTTTATATTATATAATCATACTATGAAAAAATCAACCTTGAAACTGTATTCAACTATATCTACGTTCTTTTACAGTAATTAACTTGTAAAAAATATATTGACAAATGAAAATATATTTTAATATAATTTGTAATTCATGCCCGCGACACAAAAACATAACAAAATAAAATTATGCCAACCAACGTTCTGTAAAATTCCAAAATATATTTAGCGTGGTAGAAATGATATAAAACATGAAACGAAGAGTCACCTTGAAATAAAATACAATAGATAAGGTTACTCGTATGGAAAAAAACTACCAATTTTATTAAAACAATTTGAACTCATTCCATTTGCTGTATGACTAATAATCCAGCTGATTATGAATAGGTAGTAAATATTGTCTAACATATGAAATATGAAATGGGTCGATAATTAATGAGGCTGTATAATAACCCGCGGTCTGTAAGTTGATGTTATCATTAAGTAGTGGTTTGGCGGGCCTCATTAACTCAACGTGTCTTATATTGGTTTATATGGTTTATATTACATTATACTCTGCGTATTGCGTAAAGACATCAATCAAAAATGTTTTAAACCAAACATTCTGTGGTCTAAACATATTTTTTCGTTGTGAAATAGTTTGAGAAATAAACACATCTAGTATGCTCTACCCAATCAATTGTTTTTCTGTTTATTTTATGCGAAATAAAAATTTGCAGTCAGCTTTAGAGTAAGCAATAGATTTGTATTGATTATTTTTTCGTAACTTGATTAGTTACTTAAGTATTGCTGAAAAAAAAAAAAAACACTTGAAAAGCAGAATT